TTGGTTAGCTAGAATGCTGTCCAACCCGAGCGCGTAAAATCGTCTAGCGAGAGCGATTTAGAACTTAAAAGGATTTTGTATCTACAATGTGGGTGTCTCGATTGTGTTTCGTCGAGCTGGATGGGAAACTGGTGAAGTGTAGGTATTGCGCCGGACTGTAATGATTAGCCTGTTTTCATGTGAGATAGACCTCTTAATGAGCCCGTCATGTGCGTGGCGATGTTGAGATAAGTGCGATGTAATTAAAGGTAATGGCAGACTTTCTTGAGAGATGTTTTGCCTTTCAAGACGCACAGGGAGATCCGTCTTTGACATATATGGTGGGGGGCTGTTTGGCAGAACGTTTGTAGTTGGACAATACTACCGATCCACTAGTATTGCTTGCTGGGGGGTCTCGGACTGCTGTAACTTGACAAGGCGCTCAGTTATGTCATCCACATAACGATTATAGTACTGCTGTGACCCCCCCCCACCCCCTTCCCCTCCCCTCCCCTTCCCCCCCCTACCCCCCCCCCCCCCGTGTCGCCCCACCCGCCCCCCCCCCCCCCCCTCCACTCCCCTCCCACGTCCCCGCCCTCGCTTCTCGCTCGCGCTATTCATCCGCACGCTCCAGCCCGCCACGTCCCACCGCTCCCCCCCGCTCGCGCTCAACGCGCCACTTGCACATAATCCTGCCCGTGCACCCATGCTATCTCTCTCGCGCGCTTCCTCGCGCTCTCGCATCGCCTGGGTACACGCACGTCACTCTACCGGCCTCAAACCCCGGGAAGTCTCACGCGCGGGTGCTTCCCCGCCGTTCAGATGTCAAGTTGGTCAGCATTGTTGCTTCTCACCTGTTGGCTCCACATCCTCGCCCTACCCTGCACACTCCCCCACCCCCGGCGCGCGCACGCACCGCCGCGCTCTGCCATAACGCCGGCCCTGTCAAGATCTAGCGTCTCACTCGCGCTCGCTCAGGACGCCTTCACACTCTCTACACATCCTACCCCCTCCGCGCGCGCGCGCGCTCCATATTGGGACGCTCTCGTCTACTTCATCGCCCGCATCGCGCGCCCAGGGCGCTGAAACCTAGTTGTCTGAGGCCGCGTATTAGTAGTCGGTCAATCAGGCGCTGTGTTCGTACTACATCGACTTAGTGGCATTAGACAAGATTCTGAGTGGGCGCTCGATAAAATTCGGTGGAGTGTATTACAGTGTCCAGAGTGGGATTGGTATTACCCACCGCAGTTTGCTCGTCACGATAACACTGTCGATTGACGAATGTGTGGGCGCAGCTGAACAGTGTATAAGCGGAAGTGCCAGAGCACTGTGTGTGACAGAGGTCTAATCGAACACTCGGCAAGCTAGACAAGCCGTGCATTCCATTTGTGAGGAGACATCTTGACGCTGCGCGACTTCATGCTTATGGTAAAGATCTTGAATGAGTACTGAAGACACCGGCCGTCAGCGTAGGTGCCTACTATAGTGGTTGATAAAGGCAGAAAGTGTGGGTGTTTGAGTGCAATGCAAGAGATGTTGCACAAGTGATTTTTTCGTGTGCGAGGACTCAGGATATGTAACCAACCACCTGACAATAGGTTCCTAAAGAGTATTCAGATCGTCATGCTGCTCATCCTGTATATACGGGTTAAAGTCACGAGTCGGCACCGCTCATCTCGGGAGACTGTAATAAGTTTATAATCATTGGAAGAGAGTGGTCATAGAGAACGTTCGTGTGGAGTAGTATACGTTGCCGGTGAAACGCATGCTCCCACAGATATAACGTAACAATGCAGAATAATGGATGAGAGCCAGGTTCAGCATCTAGACGAGTTGCCTGTCGCGCGATGCATAGTATGTCTGGCTCTTAAGTTCCAGCTTGTTCAAAAAGTCATTCTGTTGTCTGTCACGTATAGCTGTCACGATTAATTGGTTTGCAAACTTTTGTTCAGTATGACTGCTGTGTCCGAGACGCGCCCACGGCTTGACAATTACATGCTGCGCTTCGAGATGTGTGGAGTGTTAAATCTCGTGAGATTATATAATCTCAAGTTTGTGTCGCTCACCGCGTTGAGCGTCGGTCGTGCAGAGGGTGTGACAGGTTTCGTACAAATGTGATCTGCGCACGCTGAGCACAGAGAGATCAGGGGATTTCGTGTGCTCTTCGTGTGATCTCCTACCTGCACGAGTTTTACCCGTGGCCCGGATGTCGCGCAGCTTGGTGTTCCTATTCAAGCCGGCATCTCATAGTTTCTCTAACCGCGCATGTATCTCACGTCTGGAGGGGTGGTTGTATGTGTCTCTCGGTAGAGGGTACGATATCTCCCGGAAGGTATGCATTTGTTGCGAGACTCGGAGATGTTGTTTTTCGAGAAACCCACGCTTGGCAGTGAACTAAAGTGCTCTTACTCGACGTCTCTGTGTGTA